TCTTGGGGTACTTGGGTGGTACAGGCCCTGGCAGAATAATTTTACAAAATATTACACACCTGGACAGTGAGGTTTTTCTGCAGAGATTTCCAAATTTGTTTTTATTCCAAGGTTATTTGAAGGGTTCAGGGGCTAGCAGAATATTTTTGGTGATAAGTTTAGAGCATATCATTGCTTCGTAGAGACCAAGCAAACATAAGCAAACAAGCAAATTTCAATTTGCTTTTGTAACTGCCGCCAGGCCCAGTAGCAGCACTGGAAGCGATGGTGAACGACAGCTGCAGGTCCTGGTGACCCGACCGCTTCTTTCCGGAATGCTGAGATTTGCTGTTGTTGATGGAGTGTGGCGCAGTGGCAAATCCAAGGAGTACGTTTGGCCACAGGGCGCATTGCGGGCGGCTTACTGCACCCGATTGCGTGTCAAGCTTCTCGAGCCGCTTCCGGGAGACGGTAGTGAGCACGAAAGATTTGTCTTGTCAAGCCTGTCTCCAACGTTCACCCTCCGAGCACATGACAGAAGTATCCTGTACGAGGTACCGTCCAAGAACATCCACGAGATCAAATTTGGCATGAACCAGTTGCGACTCTCCCTCGACAAGTCTGCTATTGACGCATGGCACAAAGTGAGTAATGCATCAGTGCCGTGGGAGCCAAGCAAGAAAAAGAAGGCTGCCGACAAAGTGTATTTCACTGAGGACGACTTCCAAAGGAACCCGGCAGGCCGTAGCAATGTCCTCATGTTCGTTGAATCGATGATTCAGGACTACGAAGTGATGTTTGGAAAACTCATCTCGTCTGAGGGCATCATTCGCATCTCCAAGGACAAGGCTGTGGAGAAGGCGGATCTTCTTGCGAGGCTTTTCCTTCATACTTCAACAGGTATGCGAAGACTTCCACCCATTACCAGAGTTTGTCAAAACATGACAAGCAGTGTGGGTGCCTTGCAATGATGATCTATGATAATTTTATAGTTAATAGTTTTGTTGTACTTTTTAAGTCTATTGATTTTTATGTCTTCAATTTGTTTGGCCTTGTGACCATTCAACTCAACAGTTTTTTTTTCCGGAGCCTTTTCAACTTCAGGTTTGGCCTGCTGGTCCTGAAGGAGCTCATGTCCATGTCCCCGTGTCCTACCGACCATCGGTCCAAATTCAGGAATTGGTTGGCGAAGATCTACTACGAGTCGGCCGAGCCCTTGCAGATGAAGAAGGCCAATGCTGATGACATCTGATGACAATGATGTCGATTAGATTAGATTCCTTTAGTTTCGATTAGTGTGCCCAAGTGTGCACGCAGCTGTGTGGATGCCAATTCAAAAGATTTCAACCAGTGTACATGAATGGGATTGAAATGGATTGAATCGGTGAGTGGAGGGGAGATGCCATTCGCTGGTCAGATGGCACGTAATTCTTGCTGGCCGTGTGGGACGCCGGTGATAAACCTTTGCCTGCCAGTCTGTGGAAAAAAGAGCGACTGATCGATTTGTTCTCTTGTCATGTCTTGAGTCTTTCCTTGATGCCTATCAGCAGCTTGCTTGTTTCATACCTGACCCGTTTATAGAATACATCAATAATTATTCCTAGAGGTAGGTGACCCTCCAGAATAATTGCCAGCAATATGTCATACCCCCACAGAATAATTTATAAATTATTCCGAGGGGGTCCCCTACCCACCCCCCCTCCATGGTAGGGCCCATTATATAATAAGTGTAACCGTATAACTAAGTTCTTAGTTATTGAACAGCTTTGACTTCATGCAACATAAATTTACCTCTCCTTCCGCTGGTTTGCCGGCACAAGAGTCAAGAGTCAAAGGATGTCAAAGGTATTTTTGCACCAACTTAATGAAGCCATCACATGTGATTGTTTAACATGTCTGACTGGCTGCATTTATGAAAAAACGCTCATTATTGCAGGGTAGTCAGTGTACGCCATCCTTGAATCAGCCAGCAGACATTGTTGCTTCCCGTTGGTTGCTTTGTTGTGGATTTCCGGATGTTGTTTGGTGCCAACATTGTTTGGCAGCTCTCCGGCAAGTTGTCTCAGCCATTCACCACACTATGCTTGCACATCCTTACAATTTTTAACTTGTAAAAGTAGAGGGGCTAGAGGGGCTTGACATGTGATAGTACCTGGTAGTATAATGTTGTATTTAATGTAGTATATGGTATTTCTTCGGTATCGGCCAGATAGGTGCACCATCTCAATGTTGAATGATTCTCTCAAAAGGCATTCGCAGGAATCGAGTATTGTCTCGCTTGGCCTTGAGGTAAGCTCACGCGATTGCTGCAGAGCTCTCTTGGGGGCGGTCATTTGCTGCGGATTTTGGCCACTGCCAGCCCAGCTGACCAGGAAGAATCGGGGACAATTGCACAAGTAGTGGCAACGAGGGTCGGGGCTGATGTTTCTATCTTGTGAACCTGAACCTGCGGCTGAAGTGGGGAGAGAGCAGTTGGTTTTAGGGGAAGTGTTTCCGACCAAAGACATCGGAATCTGGAGCCCCAAAGATTCTGGAAGGTATAAAATTTCTTTTTCAGGCGACCAAGTCATTTGGTTGTTCGTTGTGCCACTGACGCCTTCGATTTCGACAAAGTCTGCCCTCGGCAGGAGCAGACTGAAAAGACTTTGCGGTTTGCCTCGGAACTACGGCAGCTGTTCAACTATCCGAAGGTGTCCGGAGTTCTTGTTGTAGACGGCTGTTTGTTGATGCGCGCCACATAATTGGATTTGCCTGGATTTGCTTCAGCAATTGGAACCAACACTCAGCAACAATGTATGACTCGCCGCGTCTCAACATCAGGGCAATCCCTCGTCGGAATTCACTTTTTGGATTGGAGTATGCCAGCTGGTCCTGTGTGAGACGCACTCATTACTGAAAAGAAATGAAAATATTAGAGGCTGCGCAATTGTGGCGGTGCGCGTTCTTAGGACTTTTGAAATTTGATGTTGCGGCATTTGATGTTGATCGTTTGACACGTGCAAAGTTGTACATCAGTGTTCCTAATATGAAACGAGTTTGAGGATTTGTTTGATAAGAATATCCTTGCTTCCCTTCCTTCATAACAATCCCGTTGTTTCTAACAATTGGATTTGGACGTAATTTTTAAAACTTGATCGCCTTTACGTGTTTGGAAGCACGTCATCCTTTCTGGTGCCTACGCCTGCATACAAGATCCTACAAGCACCCTACCTTATCCAAAACGTGCCATTCTTCTCCTTTGTACAATCCTCATTTGTGATAAGACTGTGACCGTATAGAAATGTATCCCACCTTATCCAGAACCTCCTCTACCATACAAGGCTCATCCCCGATACGAGTTTGACCGTGTATAAATGCACATACGCACATCTGCATGCACATATGCATATATACATATATGAGCACCGGTTACCTCCATTAAGGAAGAGCCTAGTATCAATATGTGAAAGGTTGTTCCTTTGTCAATTTGTCAGGATGACACCTGTGGAAGTTCTTGTCTAAGAAATCTTTACTTTGCCTACAATTAGCAACCTATCCAAGAAGGGGTGAGCAGCAAAAGGGTATTTCCAACTGTGAACGTCGATGCGTTGGAAAGATAGGAACCCACCTCAATCAGCAGCAAACAAAGTCATATCTTGACACTTGGGCTATGTACGGATGTGTAGGTAAGAAGTTAGAATTATCCGGTGGGATAACGTGTTTGTCGCTGCGTATTATCTCGGCTCTTCTTAAGGAATGTCAAAAACAATTGCAAGTGCCAGTGCGCACCTTTGTGCATAGGATATGTAATACTCATGCTTGCCACCGTTCTCCATGTGTTTTCAAGCGCTAGCCTGACCAGGCAAGCCCGTTGAGCCGCTTGGTAGCCCAATGCCTTGACTGAAAACAAGATAGGTATGTCTATTTGCATCGTGCATGGGGATTTGTGTGAGGTTCCTTAACGCGAAATAAGATCTGTGCCAAGTTCGTTTTTCTCCTTGTGCCTTGCAGTTGTGCAGACTCCGCAAGTTGTGACATCACGAATGCACTGCCCCAGTTTCCAACCTGTGGATGCCACCCGGGACGAGCGCTCGAGGTTGGGACTTCACTGAGACCGGGCCACTGGATGCCTTCGCCCAGGCGGTGGAACGGGAAATGCATGTTGCATCGCCAGAGGTGATGGCGTAGACGTGAGATCCCAGTGGTGCAGACGACCTAGACGAGTTCGTGGCCGCCAGTTCATGACCATGGCGCTTCAACTTTTTCTCAGAAAGTTCGCAAACTTGCACACATGCACAAACGAGACGCCCCGGACAAAACCATCGCTTTTTAGATCCGTTTCACAACATTCAGAAACACCAGCGGAAAATGGAGCGCGCTGAGTTGCTTGGAGGATTGCCTGTTTGCTAAGCAGTGGTAGGCAGGAAACAGCAGTGGGACATACAAATATATTTATGTTGTTGAGTTTAGTAACATCAGACTCAACATGTCCTTGATCATTCTTGCTCCCCACAGGCAGGCTCTGTAAAACTAGCTGTTACACAGGCTTCCTCCCCAAAAAAAGCTCCAAGACATTCGTGCATAGAAACAGTTGCGCTCTTTGCCCCTGCGCTCTCCTCTGGCTCAGGTCCCTCAGTCCGCTCTCGTGTTGTTGAACTCGTTGACGCCATGCCGAAAGCCTCCGGGACGCCCACGATGCGGCGCCGAGGGCGCGAGCCGGAGTCAGACATGCGGGGCAACACCACGGAGGAGGACACAGACTTGGCAGATGACCCGCGCAGCAGCTTGACGACCAAAACGAAAAAGAAGACTAACTCTCAAGGATGTTTTTTCCCTTTGGGTTTGTATTTGTGAGATGCCAGGTGACATGGAGACCAGCGAAGCAGCCAAAGCTGCGCAGGCGAACGAAGGCACAGTGTTCAGTGGGTGCGATTGGAGAAACATGGAGAAACTATTTGCATATTGGGTGCTAGCTGCCCTGCAGAGAAAAACTGAAAGGAACCTGAAAGGAACTCTATTCGTCTATTCGTCAAGCCTGTGCGTGGGAATGAGTCATGGAAACTTTGGCTCCAGCGCGTATATAGAATATTTTTTTGGCACTTTGTGCTTTGCCCACCCTATACCCTCACCGGATTCTGCACATTCAAAGTACGGGAAGGGTTCCATTGGCAAGTCAGGTTTTGTTCAATGTACCTTGCCTTCACAGCCACGCCAGGCAATGTTCCGGAGTGCTTGTTTGGTTTCGGGCAAGGGCAGAGGCAACTCACTCGTTTGCGAAGTTGAGGGGCTCGTTGCGGGTGGACCCGAGGCGGTGAGAAGCTGCTGTCCAAAGTGAAGATGAAGAAGATGACCGTCCGATCCTCGCCTCAAGAATCTTACATAATCTGATTCGATCGACCGATAAAACTTGTCAATACAAGAGGAGTGAGGTGTGCATATGCTGATACGCTTCAGTCATCAAGCAGGCAAAGCAAGAATGACCATTTGGATGGCACATTTGTTCCCCACAAGCGTGAACGACGCCTTGTGTGAACGACGTGTGCCCTGTGCGTTCAAAAGTTGTCTTGAGGAGCTGTGATGGGAATTAGTATGATGGTGACCTTTGGTGGTATCATTTATCTTGGTCATTTGCCCCTCAGCTGCTTTAGCAATGTCTTGCGCAGATGAGCCAGAGGTTCATCCGGCACCGGCACCACGAGTGGGGAATTTTTGATAATTAAGACATCAGTCACAATCCTGGCTTGTTGCGGTACACAGTCGGATCACATGCATTTGAGAGAAATAACTTCATCATCTTCATCACTGTAACGCGAATATGTGTTTACCCCTTCCATGCAGCATATGTCCTAAAGAAGAGAAACACCACCCGAAGCTGTGGTGCCATTGGCCTCAAACTTCATCCGATCCCATAGGGCCATGCGTATCTCACGGCTACTTCTAGATCCCATTGGCCACGAAGTCCCCAACTCCTTGTCCTGGCTTTCAATCCAATATCAAGCGTAATCGACAAAGCAAACCGCAAAGGCATATGGATGCATATGGACTATCATCCACAACACAGATATATATATATATATACCGACTGTGAAGGTATCTTTGCGTGCTGGTCTTTGCGCTCCAGTGCTTCATCTTCTTCGAGCTGGTGGGTGTGCGCAAGCGACAGGCGGCCGAGCGGCGGCTGCCCCTCTTCCGCTCCATTCAGTGGGCATGGTTTTTTGCTCCTTGGCATGGAGGCAGACTTACAGTTTAAGAAGGGTTGCATCCTTCGCAGCCCTTTTGGTCAGGATGCAACAGCAGCAGTCGCAACAATGGCAATATTGTGCAATAACACCTGCAGCAATTTCAACATCAACAGCCTGAATCAACAGCAAACACCAAAGAACGGAGATTCTTCATCGATAATTTGTCAAAGCTGTCCCGCTAGAGAGGTACCAGGCTGCCTTTTTGGCTACCCCGATTGAGAAATGTTCTCACTTGTGGCAGCAGGTTGGACCTTCTTATAGTCTAGTTGTTACACGGTGCTCTGATTTTTTTTGTGCTAGTCCTAGTGACTGCTAGTGGTATTTTTGGAGATCCCCAATGATCAGTAGGCCCTAGGCATGGACGAACCAACGAGTCTCTCAACCGTGTCATCCATTTGAACATGTACAGTATATGCCCCCACTCAACAAGGCACACATTGCCAACAACTGCACACACGATCGTTAACATCATATAATGGCACTTGGATTTATCAGCAACTCAGATGCTCTATAGCTGCAGGTTGCATCCTTCTTCACTTGGTCAGGAAGCATTTGTGATTTCGTGGCCAGTGACCCAAGATTCTTCAGTTCCCACTCCATTGCGAGAATGGTGTTGGAGAAGAACATGATGGTGTCCTTCTCACTCTACACTCTTTTGCTGATGGTACCTCAGCTAGGTCTTACCGAACACAGAGAGAGAGAGAGATAGCAATTGTATAATTTGTATATATACATACGTATACGGACATGTTTGGCAAAAGCTCGTGATGTTTCTTCGCTTTTGCGGGACACGCTTTTCGTTGTTGTTCTTTTTAAAATATCCGTTCCCTTTTTCCGTTTGCGGCAGGTCTCCGTGCTGAGCCTCCGGAAAGGTTTGTACAAATATCAGATCACACAGTACACCTGGACCGTGGTGACTATTTGTATTGTGGTCTTTCAGACGCAGGCAGTCTTTCACCTGATCTATGCAGGCCTTTTCTGGTTTGTTTTGCCTTCCTCCTTGGTGATTTGCAATGACATCATGGCATACTATTGTGGGCAGATCTTCGGGAAAAAACTGATCCGGAGGAGATTCTTGGAATTGTCACCAAACAAGATCCTGGCATTAAGTTAGCAACGCTCTCTCTTTGTGCCAGATGCAAGTTCAGTAATGCCTCAGAAATAACAAACTGATAGAGCCAAAACTGACATTTCGAATGACAATGAGCCATTCTTTCAGTGTTGAGTCCAAATTGTACCCGATGCATGCCGAAGCAGACGCATTGTGGCATACGCAGATGCCCCTTTGAAGCAATAAGCTGTTTGGTTTTTGGTGTGGGTGAGCAAGCTTTCTGAGGACATGGGAGGGCTTTCTAGGGAGTGCCTTCTTTACAATGCTCTTTGCCTTTTGGTTCTCCAGACATCTTTGCGGCTACAAGTGGATGACATGTGTCCCTCAGCGCTTTACCTTCTCCATCAGCCCCTTGAATTGCGAGCCTGACCAGATGTACCGACCACAGACCATCGCAGCCATTCTCTATGAGACCGTCCCTGGCCTTCGAACCGCAGAGCTCTTCGAAGGCGAGATTTCTGCACCATCGTTTCAGAAGGCACTTTTCATATGTTTTCATCACTTTTCTCAACTGTTCTTGTGAAAGGCAATTAAGTGCAGTTGCACCAAAAGAGACATTGGCTTAAGATGGCTCAAGGGTAGTTGCACAGGGCCAACTAACTACGCCCCCTGCTTAGCTGACCTTTCAAGGGCTTTAGTGTTTTCCTTCGTTCCCGTTTCGTGGGCGGTCCGGCTGTGAAGCACCGGCGCAAGTCATATGCCCTGATTCTGATCCCTTTACTGACTAAATCCTGCCGAGGATCGAAAGGAACCCGCTGATGTTTGGGTTGACATTGACCACAGGCCGTATCTATTGAAGAGCTATATACATCGGCCCCCCATTGCGATTGCTCGCTTTTGCTGGTCACCTTGCAGATCCAGCAAGACCCCAAACAGATGTGTTTAGGATCCTAGCCAACCCAGCCCTCGGCTGTAAATGGTCGGAAGACGGTGGCTGCTGCAAGTTCAAGAGGTTTGTTGTGAGGGGGGTGCAGATCAACTTCTGAAAACCGAATGGAGAAGTCCTTCCTCATATCTTCTGAGGGTACGAACCGCGTCCCCCTCAGGTTTTGACCATCATGTGTCTTTTGTTCATGTCTCAGGCTTGCACATTGTCAACGGGATCGGCCAGCTGGAGATATGCCAAGCTCAAATCCACGCGCTGCTCAGAAGCTTTAGAAGCCATTCGTTGTGGCCACATCTCAGCTGTGCGTTTCAATCAAGGTCATGGACTGAACATGACAGATTTTTTCGCACGCCTTGGGTGTGCCGGGGTGCCTTTGCCGTAGATGTAACATGTACCACTTTCGGTGGTTTTTGTACTGTAATGTACTGAATACTCTTGACTAAGAGGTACAAGGCAGAATTGCCTTGAAAGCCACCTGCACAACTCTGAGAGCTCAATTCCCCAAGAGTGAATATATTTGAGGCAAGTTGTTTCTTGAGAAGTCCTGAAAGTAGTTGAGGTTATCCTTGGGCTTCTTTGCCTCCTTTGCTGCCCCCTTCGGCGGCTTCTTGTCCTCGGCCATCAAGCGGGCCTATGGCATCAAGGACTTCAACAATCTCATTCCGGGGCACGGAGGCTCGCAATCGAAATTTTGAGGTTTGCAGATCGATCGTTTTTGGCACGTTGGGATCAATGGGTTTTGGGAGGGTAAACTGATGTGACACTTGTCCGCTGATCTTTTGACACAAGAAGCGGACCACTAGACCCGATCTTTTATGAAAGCATTTTCCGACTCTTTGTTTGGATGTTTGGCGGCCTGTGCCACATTGTGCCACTATGGTCCACTGTTCACTTCGGTGGGAAGGTCCTTTAAAAGAGCCACCATTGTCCAGGCAAAGGTCGCTTTGGGATGCTTTTGGCAGGTGGCTTTGGTGTCGGTGTCGACCTGCGTTTTCTAAGGCATGATGGACCGATTTGATTGTCAGTTCGTGATGTTCTTATGCGCCCCGGCTTGGATCTGTGTCCATCATGCGTGATACAGCATGCCTAGCTGCTAGCCTTCCCAACTGCCAGGCTATCCTCATGTTTGATGATCTAAGCTTAATTGCAATGTTGTTTTTTCTCCATGTTTGTCATATATTTGCCTTGGAAGTTCCATGGATGGGAAGGAAAGAATCCGTCCATATTGGGGCTCAGGGGGTTGTTGGCATTTCCGTCGGGTTACTCACAGCTGCTGGGCAAAAAGAACGGAGTCGATCTTGATTGGTAGAATCTGGTAGGGGAAGAAGTCAGCAACCTTTTGGTCACATTGGTCCAGGCCAGGCTTAGTGGTCGCTGCTGCCATACCATGTATCTTAAGCACTAGGAACTGAAGCAGGCGTCCTCTCTTGAGTGACCAATGACAATCCATGACATGTGGCTACACATGGGCACGCCGGTACAGAGATCTTCATCCATGTTCACCCACCATTCTCCGGAAAAGTCACTCCACGGCACCGGTGGTGAAGCTACCAAGGCACCTTTGTGCACATCAGGACCTTTTGCCAGGCACCTGTGACCATCGACATGGTCTTGGGCTCGGCAATGAAGCTAAGCCTGGCCGACAAGCAGGCGCGAATAGGCAATTATAGAATGTGCCGTAGATGGTGCACAGGGTCCGGTGTGGTGAAGCATGGTGCGACTGAAGGGACCAAAGTTCTAGTATAAGGCAGTAGGCGACGTCAAATCGAGCCGAACAGCTGGAGGTGAGTCCGGTTTGTTGACCGGGAGCACCAAGCATGTTTATATAATTTAACTATGCTGCAGTGATGTGCAGCTGTGCAGCGAAGACAACCGTCATGTAGCCCGTGACCCACAGTCAGTCAGAGGTTATCAGAGCTGGGTTTGGGGATTGAAAGCTTAGTCATACACACCCACAGCGGACATCCACCCTGCAGGCGCTGATCTCGAAGTTGCAAGATCAACTGGCTCAATAAGACAGTTTCACCTGGATTTTTGCAAGAAGGCGGCACGTTTGACAATTTGACACTTCACACTGCCACTCACAGTTGCATCGGAGTTGTTAAGATAATGATACTGTGTATAACTATAAAAATGTGGCCATCATGACGAATCAGATCGAATAATAGGGCAGCATGCATGCTTGTGTATCATGTGTCTTGCAACATGTTGCAACTATGTCCCCCATCTATGACCAAAAGGGTCAGATTAGGCGGTTTGGTCGTTTGCACGGACCTCTGAGCCCAACCTCAGCAGGAAGAGTCAGGTAGAACGTCTTTGCCCATTCAAAGGCCATAGGATCATGAATGATCATGTCCATCCCCATTGAACTAGAGCATCACTCGCCAGGAAATCAGTGGCTTCGTGTGCTGGAGGCGGCCTACATTGGATGCAGATGGTTTGCGAGCTGCGAACTCCAAAGCACAGAGGTGAACAAGAGAGCTTTTTTCGGATCTTTGTTTCGGACGATGTTGTGAACTTCCAGCTATATCAGAATGCTTCACAGTCGCAACCTGGCGGGGTAGGAAGAAACACTACCACCCTCTAACTTGGATGTTGGATTCCTGGTGTGAGTGATCAAAAAAAAGCTCTAAAGCAGAGGCTCAGAGGAATTTTAAGGAGTGCAGCTGCTTTGCAGAGAAGCCATGCACTACCCGCACAGTGCTCATGTACCAGTGCTCGGTTTGCTAATTCGAAGAGGCTTTGTATGGATTCATTCGGGAAAGTAGTAGCGGACGACATTCATTGTGGAGCAGACCATGCAAAACCTCGCTTGCAAGGGCACTCCGTCTTCCGATCCCCTTTGAATCGAAGAGATGGGACGAACAGCGAAGTTCCCGGAAGCGATTTGATGGTCGAAGCCAAAGAAACTGGCTGCGTGCTTGTGGGGTGCTTGGTCGCTTGATGGACGTAGTGGGGTCAAAGTATGGACATGGAAGGGCAGAGGGTTCAAGCAATCCCAACGCAGGACTTCCATCATTTTGCATCATAGAACTTATATAGAATTAGGTGAGTCAGTACCATATGAGTGCATTCACAGCAATTGTCTAGCAAGATAGGTTTGATTGAAAGCCACAATCATTCATCATAATCCCAGCCTGTTGCGGCCACACAGGCGGGGTTCGAGTTGAGCAAGGCGGAACTTTAGCATTGACCAATTGACCTTTACTGCAAAGCTTCCTGGTTTTGCCCAAGAGGACCTGAAGTTCCTAGATTCGCCCAAACTTCCCGAATTTATTTTGTCTCCAAAGCATCCTGGCTTTACCCCAGAGTCCAAGAGAAGCCTTGAGACCTTATGTTCTTTCAGAGGTGCTCCGTGATCGACGCCAAGAGGTGCGACGGCTCAGTTTTTTCAAGGACTTCATTCATGGGATTCACCGTGGAAAACGATGAGCGAGTTGCCGCTTATTCTATGACACAACTGCGTGGAATGGTTCAGAGGCAGAGTCAGGATCCTTGCAACATCCTCAATAAACAATGGGGTGGTCACCTGCCCTGAGTGTGGATGGGGACTTGGCAACTCAGCACGCTGTTGACAACAACTTTGCCTCATGTGACCTACGATCAAATCCCTGAAGCTGAAGCCGGGACCGGGAACACTAAACGCTTGGTGCGGGAAGGGTCGTTGAGAACAGGTGAAGTGGAAAGAACACCGCACGTCCAAAACAGGTGAGTGGTCTCGAAGCGAATGTTCTGAAGCCTCGGAAGGCCGTTTTTGGTGCTCCAAATGGTCTCGGAAGCTCGGAGGCATCGCGTTTCTCGTCTGCTCCGGTGGAAGCGGAGGCTGTAAAGCACCTGAAGAGAAGTCAAGAGCTTGGACAAGAGCTGCGACAGATCCAGGCGCTGGGGTGAATTATAAGCGTAACAGGTCACTCTGCCGAAAAGTTGTAGTAGATGTTCTATGTTCTTTTTGTGTAGGCCATTGTTGAACAATAAGAACTCTATCCTTGGCATTTTCCTTGTTGGTAGATCAGCGGGTGAAGTTGTAGGGACTCTGGCAATTGTGGTTGTTTCTCGGGAGAGTGTTCAAGTCTACCATATGGTTTAGTGCTCATTTCGCTTGTTGCTGTGCTGGCTGGAAGGCACATCATGTACGTGTGGCTTCAGGTGTTGCCAGTCGCATTGATGCTGCCCGGAAAGATGTTTCGACTTTGATTTGCCTTTACCAAAGAGCCTTTCTTATTTTTCTTGTGCTGGCTCAAGGGTGTCTCGCCTGAGGCGCTGCGCACCCAAAGAATCCAATTTTAGAAGCCACTGGGCCATTCAGGTCATTTCTAATAGCCAAACTGATATGTCATCGACTATGATTGACAATACATTCTGACAGATGATCTGTGTGTCAAGGATCGTAGCTCTCTAAGATCCTTCTTACGGGTTCAGCTGTATCGGCTTCCTTTCTCGGTCAGTGACCAATTGAGCCATTCGCGATGGCCCGCAAGAGAGTCAGTCAGGTCTTTCAGATTCTGCTACTTTTGATCCTCGGCTTCAGACCGAGACGTGAATGTCTTGACATGTGATGGCGGCAAACCAGAATATCATGTGCTAGATCAGTTTTGTAGGGCTTCCGTCTAGCTTTTCTGGAAGATCCCATCATGCCACGACAAAGGCAAACCACGCAACCACTCTTGGACGTCCAACCAGCCAAGCGTCAACGAAACCCAAAGTTTGGCAATGCTTCGTCCTTTGCCAATGCCTTCCGGAATCTCTCGCTCACCCCAACCGAATCAGCATGCAAAAGAGCGGGATCATGCGGGTCCTGTTCTTGCCTCTCAGAACCCGACACAACTGGTGCGTCTCGCCTAGGAGCCTCGTCGCATGGCAATGCAGCTCAGCTCACCAAGCCGGACGTAGTGGTGAAGCAGTGGAAACTCGTGGGCAGTTGACCCGTTCTGATAGCGAAGTTTGCATGATTTCTCTTTTTAGTGGTCCCATCTGAAAGTCATTGAAAGTAAAACATGGTGAGATGGGATGGTTGTGTTTGCCACTTGACTTGCATGCAAGGGTACTGTTTAAGCAACAAGTTCAGAAACTGCCTGACCACTATGAACCCAGCGTGGCATTGGGGCTCCTGCCGCTGCAGGATTTGCTGGCACAGAAGTGCAGTACTGCATTCAGTAGGTACGTGTGTAAATCATATTATATTGTAGGTTTATATTATCACGAGGGAAGTGGCCAGTTGAAATTCTAGTGTGTCACTTCATAGGATGCTTGTACACCAACACAGTTCTAAATGCTGCGGAAATGAGCCCTGAATTAAACCAGCCACTTTGCTCTATAAACTTCGGCTGTTATTGGTTGAGACTTTGAGAACTAATGTTTGAACTTGTTTGAAGTATATTGCAAATCCAGAAGTTAAACGTTAACAATTGATTGGTGGCCGCCACAACTAGTAGGTTGTCAAACAAGTGGGTTTCCTCCAATTTCTGTGGTTCACGATGGTTCCTCGACTAGACTGTCTAGACCTTAAATAGATGACCTTCCCTGTTGCTACAGATAATTTTTTACTTTTTCCTACTTTTTCAATGACTTTGGTGAACCTTGCTGATCGATATTTTTCGAGAATTGCATCGCAATACTTAACGACTTTTCCATATCAGTTACTGTATATTTCGTATACCTTGTCCCATGTCGCCCATGTCTTGCTTTTATTTTTGTAAAAGGATCTCTCTGGTCTTTCACCTTTTGAAGCTTATTTTGTATCGGCAGGTCTTGAACTGAGTACCTCACCGTACCTCAGCATCTAGCAACGGGGATCGCCTAGATTAGGCTTGTTAAACTCTGCCCCCATGTGAACCCTAGACCACTCTTTGGCATTCTACTGAACCTCCCAACATTCAAGGTTATTGTTGCTTGCAGGTTTATGTTTTTTGGCCTAGAGCTTTGGCAGCTTGAAGGCTAGAAGCCAGTAGGTGGCATATAGTAGGCATATATCGCATATATCTTCTTTGAGCAAAACATTTACCAGATCCCCGGCCGATTCCTCACCAGATCTTCCCCAAATCTTTACAGTGCAACAGATAGAGCACACTCACCGATACAAACCATGAATGAAAGAAACATAAAGAAACAAACAAAGTGGAATTAAAGAGATCCGTGCACATTGTTTTTCCTTCCTGCCCCATGCCATAGCTGTTGCGATTGTTGCCTTTGGCACTTGGCATAACATAACACCACATTGGCTCATTGGAAGCCATGGGCTGCAAGTAGCTTCGGCTCAAAGGTGTGTGGACATGGGCCTGGCCCCCATATATATATACATATATATATATATATAGGTGGCTTCGCAGCAGTCTTGTTGCTGCATTAGGCGGTTGGGTTAGCTAACAATGCCACTGTCACGTGCATGATGTAGTGGAGCTAGTGGGATGAATACAAAAAGAGTTCAACATGACTGTTTCATGCTGTGCCCATGTCTTCGCCTGATCCGAGGTTGCCGATTGAACCACCAGGAGATGGTGAGCTTGGAGCAAGCCTACGTGAGTCGGCCCAAATCCAGGCATCAATCAGGTCCCCGGGGGTGCCCATGTTGTCCCGGTACTGACCGGATTTCAGATTTCTACACGGGCAGCAGTCATCACCGACTAGAACAATATGAGTATGACAGGTAGGGCTTCTCAGGACAGTTGTTGGAAGAGGGCAGCACAAACAGTTTCGGTATCTCTCTTAAGAGCAGAGCCAGGTTCTTGCTTGGGTCAGATGATGTATGGAGAAAGGATGCAGCAGGTTATGTCAGACTACGAGGTGTGCAATCACGATGCCCCTACGGCCTATACTGTAATGAAACAGATGCCGTGTAGATATTGGCATTTTATTGATCAAGATTGCCGGTAAGGTCTACTCAGAGGCAAACGGAAGGGTAGTGCACAGAAAGTGTTTTGTAAAACCTGTTCTACTAACATCGTGGAAGGCGCTGGACATTCGTAGAACCCAAGTCTATTCGTGGACAGTTCGTGGAATGGTGGGCCAGTAGGAGAACTGACTGCAACGAAATCCCAGAAACCTTCGCAGAACTTCGTGGAAGGTATTTTTGGTGCACTAACTTCGTATAAGCGATTTTTGCTGACCCCCTTTCTCCACACACCCTCCATTTAGCCTTCATCTACATACACACCTTTGCACTTAGGTAGAGGGTTTTGGTGGAGACAGTGATCCAAAGATACTACACAGACAGATGATCATGTTTCAATGCAAGACCATTAATGTTTCAGGAACTGGCAGGAACTGGCTCAATCTGGTCGGAACCATGTGCACTTGCTAGGAAAGCCGGAAACTCCGCCGGCATGTCCACCTAGGTCGGGTCGTCAACGGTCATCCAATGGCCCATCTATATCATTCTATCTCAGTTCTTGTGTGAGGCATGCCAGGGGCCGCCCAAAGTAGGCTTTGCCTCCTCTCGAGTCTCGAGTCTCGAGTCTGCCATGCCCAGACACAGCGCTCCAGTCCTTGGGTGTCCGAGGCCATCGATAGCAGCATCCAGTGGCCTTTTCTGGTCGCAGGGATCTGAGCTATGTTCCACTTCTCGAGGGCCTGATGGTGGTTGGAATAGGTTGGAAGATGATCTTCCTTTGGCTTTGGAGGTCTACAGAGTCATACAGAGTCCATGTTGGTGTAGAGTGGCGGAAAGAAGATGAAACTGCCAGCTCCACAGTTGAACTGTTGTTGGTGAAGGGTTCCATGGGAATTCCCAAGGGAAATAGCATGGTTATACATGGTTTCTGTCACCGAAAGCAAGGATGCCTTGCGAACCTGGCACCATCCTCTATCAAAGGCATACTGAGGATTTTCCGTGTGGACCCTACAGCTAGATTATAGATGGAGGACGTTTGAAGATGTGGCCTTTTGCGGGGCAGGACGTTTTGCTCAAAGATTCGAAGCCAGATGACTGATTCGCCACTGCGCCTGAGGCTGCCACCATTTTCCTCATGGAGTCGGAAGCCCTGTGTGCAGAGCACGGCACACTCAAAACACAAATGCCCGAGCAGACCTGGTGTTCGGTACCGTTTTCAGGAGCCAACGAGCCAACGGTATCCAATGGTCAAGCCCCCCAGAGCCTTTCCCTGGCGCCCAGATGTTCGTAGACCTGGGGGTCCAACATGGAGCACACCAGCAGCCACATCAGTGAGTCCACCAGTTGACATGCCATACCTGTCAGTCACGCTGCACACTGTTTTTGGCCGGTTGCATCACGCTCAGCTGGGTCAAACTAGTGCGAGACATGGGCCCATCATGGCAGTCACTGGAGTGCTACTTTAGCTCGTTGGGCGTCACTGGCGCCGCGGGCGCCTATTCGGCATCAGGTTTTTGCTGTGTTTTCTCCTACTTTTACTTCTTCGCCACTTGGACCTGGAGCGACTTTGCGACGTCGATGCAGTTGAAGCTCAAAACTTCAATTTTGGGAACAGTGTGACAAAGATGAGAGCATTTTTGGAATCAGATTTGACCAACTGATTTGCTGCCATCCCAAAGAACGCTTCAGGTTGCTTTTAATTTCCTGCTGACTTCTCAGCTGTCTCAGCTGGTGTCATTTTACCAATGGCAGGGGCGTCTCGATCTCACCCGCCCAGCCGCCGATTCTCCGGCTTTTCCCTTCGACTTCGGTGCAAGGTTTGATGCTGTACTTCAAGGATCCTGGGAGCGGCGAAGTTGTGTTCCTGTCTCGTCTCCGAGAGGCGTGAAGCATCGCGAAGCTATGAGACGCGGCCACCGCTCAGTCGATCGGTTTCGGGGATGTGGTTTCGAGTCTGTGTTGGAATGGGAAATGAGACATCGTCATCCGGCTTGTGCCTGACATGTGGAGAAATCAGCCTGCAGATTTGTGCAATGTTTGATGTTTGGCGATGGCCCTAGAGCCTAGGGAGTTTTATGTCGACTCTTGATTCATCAAACGCCCGCCCCTCCCCCCTCAACAACCAGGCGTACTAGAAAACTATACCAGCATAGACCCCAAACAGTTTCAAAACGATTCGTTTGGACCAAAATGAATCAAAAAACGTTGGTACGCCCAACCTTCCCCCCAATGATTTTTGTCGTCATCGACACCGCTATTTGTTCGGCCACACTCCTCTCCAGCAAACTGGGCCACAGAGCCCAGCCACAGAGTTCAGGGGCGCGGCCAAGACAAGGACAAGAGGAGGACAAGGCCCGGACACAGAGCCGGGCCACAGAGCCCAGCCACAGAGTTCAGGGGCGCGGCCAGTGAGTGTGGCCATTTTTTTCTAATATAGAACCCCAACAGTAGACTGTTTTGGGAACTAACCAATTGATAAAATCAATTACTGTAGAATCATTACCTGGCTATCTCTGGCAATATTCAAAATTAAGGGAATCAATGAAACCTCAGGTTGAAGACATCTGGACTATTAAGACAAAGTGCGCACAGACTTGGGGGAGGGCTTGGACAGCTTAAAGATTCAAGAGCTTAGGAAAAGTAAAGGGATAGAAGAATATAGAAGGTAAGTGCAGCAAATCTTTTAAAAAAATACAAATGAATTCCTTTAAAGCTGCAACACCAAAATATTTTGAAGCCTCAAATCTCTAGACATTATTCCAGGGACCCCAAAAAATTAATGTCAGAAAACTGCTTGCTGGACTACCCCCTTTGCTTGAATGATTTGTGTGTTTTTTCAATGCTTTTGAAGCACAGACTTTAGGAAATTTTTGGCAAACTTAAAGGTTCAAGGGCTGTAGGACAAGTAAAGGAATAGAAGGTAAGTGCAGCAAATCAGTTGGAACAGACAAGGAATACAGATAAGTTGTTTTTAAGCTGCGATCCAAACAGGGGAAATACTTATTTATACTGGTAACAAAAACATATCTCACTACAACTACCCCGCAAAAAACACATTTAAACACATTATACTAAGGACATTTATTGCTCACAGGTCAACATTAGAGGAAAACCATGTGTTAGATCAAGGCCAATGCAGCAAGAAAACTCACAGGGGTCAAAGGTTTTTGGCACCATTTTGGTCTTGCACCTGAAGTGGAGTGTAGTGTATCAGTACTCATGGTTCATGGAGCTGTTGGACTTTGCTGCACGAGGTGGCGGAGATGCTTGCGTTCATTTCTTTCTTCTCAGGGGCTCCTTGGTCTGGAGGATTACGTTCTTGAGCTCCAAAAGAGGCTTGTAGACTGATTTGGGTGGATGTAGCACAAGCCGGTAGAGATCTTTTTGCCCACGTGATGTGGAACACATTATATAGAACATATTTGAAGAATCTTTTGGTTCCTGCTCCCATTGAGAAAGAGGATTCCACAATATTTATATGATAATATATAACATCAACGCACTTTTCTACTTGATTAAGGGTCCCTGAATATATTAGTTTTGTTGCGGAACAAAAAGAGGACATCCTTGAATAAGGGAATAAGTCACCAGTCTTGATAGCACGCTCCATCACACTCCCACTATCAACTAAGCTGAATGTAGGAAAAAAGTCGTGGGTTTCCAATAGAACCGAGTGGTGTTCGTTGAGGGGACCTTGTGTCGGGACCTGGGGGAACATGAATCCCAAACTAAACTAAGTAGTGTCCATTGTACTTCTCCAGTACGCCAGACCACAAGAGGACTTTCAGACGTCAAGGTAATGTCGGTCATTTGCCAGCGAAGCAGATGCAGAACGGGCAAGCAGTCCTTGACTTCTTCAACCCCTCCCACCAGCATTCCTGTCCCTGAGCCATGTTGATAAGGATAAGGGTGCGGTGTTTTTAAGTGTGTTTTCTCGCATGGTTCACCATGCCGCTGAGGTCTTCTACGTGTTTCAGGTGAGCCGGAAGTACGACCATGCAAGCCCCATGGGCGGAGGCTCATTCTTCCCAGATACTCGCGCGGTTCGAGAAGGACGGGACTTGGGACTTTGCGCTGAAAGACGTTGGATGGTTGGCCTGCGGCCTGTGGCCGCCGGTCGCGGAGAATGAGAAGCTGCTGATGTAGAGATGCTCTTATCAATGAAAAGCACTCCTTCGCATTCCTTTGCATCATCCAGATTCACCAGATTTACTGTACCATTTGTACCCGTCACTTCCCAACAGCCACGCCTGTGTTCTTTTCGTTTCCATCTTACGCTGGGTGATCCACCGCTCACGGAGCTGTGACATCAGGACGGCATTTGTTGCTTTGGACGCTTTTGGCACCTCAGCAGTGGGTTGGAAGCCTCAGCAGTGGATGCGAAAAGGACGGTGGAGCCTCAAACTGGTCGAGCCAAAAAGAGACGTCATGAATTGTGAGGGCCTGGGCTGCCATGGCGTCCTAGAGTTGTGTGCCACAACTCTCAAATGCAACATAATGCAACTAGTTTTGAGATGCTTTGAGTGCAAATGGTTGGCGGCATGGCCAGAATGCAGTTGCTGCCACTGTGACTAGGACGATCAGTTGCTCCACTATTTTATTCCTGTATATAATATATATATATATATACACTGTATATATATATATGTGTGTGTGTGTCCCACCCTGGACAAAGGGTTTTTCCACCACCTTCACTC